TAACTATCAAAAACCATAAACATATCGATACAATGATTGTCAAAAAACCACCTTGCGTACTTCGATTCTGACAATCTGCATCAACCTTTGGAAATGCATCGAACACGATCGCTTTTTTTAAAATTTTTGAAATCATAATCGGTTTGAAAGTGAGAAAATCTATTTATAAATTACTGATATTTTTAATTTTAACCCCGTTATATTAGTGATCTAAAAATACATCATGTAATTTAACTAATTTAACATTGTACAATGCATTAATGCAGTAAATGTTATGAAATTTAATTTTATCTGTCACAATTATGGAAACTCCATTAAATTTTTTTATTTTAGTTGATCGAACTATTATCGTTATACGTATTCCTTCTGATACGCCCCCAATATTATTTTACTCTCTTTTTACTCATCTTTTTTTTTTTTTTTTTTTCCTTTTACCCTTATCCTTCCTTCCTTAACTTCTAAATTCCGTATTAAGTCATTGAACTTTTTTATTAATATCAACCAGTATGAGCAGAGGTGGTTATGGTGGTGACTATGCGGTAATTTCAATTTAATTAATTTATTTATTTGTATTCTTCTCATCTATATTAGACAGTTGATTTCGTGAACTTTTATTTATTGTTTATTGTTTATTTAACAGGGAGGGCAGGGTCAGTATGGTAACGAATACGGAGGAGGGTATCCACAACAACTATATGGCCAACAGCAACAGTATGGTCAACCACAATATGGTCAGCAACAAGGTTATGGTCAACAGCAATATGGGCAACAACAGAATTATAATCAACAGTCATATGGACAACAACAACAATATAATCCAAATGTGCAACAAAATGTAGAGATGACTCAGGTCAATCCGGATAATATCAATGGATTTTTTGACGAGGTACTATATTCTTTAATTAGGAAGGATAGGAAGGATCAATGCAATTCATAAGTTACTGGCGGTTGTCACGTTCTAGATATGACACATAACGTATCACGCGTTTTTTTCACCTCTC